TCTATGGTAATACCGTGCCTTTGATGACTAGGCTATCTGATGGCACTTCCTTTGTTTCTAAAGACTTAGTAAAGCACTTAGTAAAGTAACAAAATCTTTTGCTTATTACAGCGCTCCTACAGTGGACGTTTTCGGAAGCTTTTGAGATAATTTGTTGACAACAACAATAACAGTGTATTTTTTCAGTTCCACTCTTGTTTTGGAGACAGTCTCCGAGCAAAGTCGGATATCAAAATAATATCAAAATGATATCAAATTATGTTTTTGAAATCATATTGCTAACAAATTTTGATAGATTATTTTAATTTCAGTTGAATTCATATTTTGATAATATTTTGATGTTTCTAAAAAATATTATTAAAAACAAAATTTGATATATTTTTTTAATATAGCATCCACGCTTTTTACTGAAATCTACATTTTTTTATATTTTTTCTCTTACGAGTCAATCAGCATGCTTGCTATTTTCTTTATGATCATCACAAAACCAATTCAAGCTGAGCATTGCATTAGGTCCAAAGTAACATTGATCGATTATCTTCGTCGACATTCTCTTTCGTTAATAACTTGAGCACAAAACCGTTTCTTATTGTGTTTGTCGTGTTAGATGCTAGATAAAAGTTTCTTTTACAGATCTGTGTGCTGAAAATACCTGAAAATGTCTTAACATGGCCGTGGAGATACAAAGAGAAAGTCCACGAAGAGAATCTGTCAATGTTACTTAGGACCTAATGCAATGTTCAGTTTTAATTATGATTTGTACAGTTATATTTTACAACATTTATTGATATTAATCGACAAATTTAATTTACTAATCAATATAACTGATTGAAATATAGGTTTGTTTATATGGAATAATTTGAATAAATGTAAATTTATTGATAACAGTTTTTGATTTTGAATCTTGATATCAACAAATAGATTTCAAAACATTAAGATTACTGATCATGATATCAAAATAATAACTAATTTAGTTTTTCTTATTATTTTTTGTTTTCCTACCATAGTTATAACAACATATTGATTACTTATTTTGTTTATTATTAACGAAATTTTTGATATCAAAACGCATACATGGATTTGTTATGAAGAAAACATGATTTGTTATCTTTTTGATATCCTTCATATATCATTTAGATCTCATTTTTGTTATGATTACTGTTAACTCGACCACACGGAAGGTAAAATATGTTATCACGAACGCTTATATCCAAATATCATATTTTGTTTTCATTCTCTGCTCGGGTCACCATGCAAGAAAAGCGTAGGGAAAAAAAACGCGCGCAGTCACCTGGAAAATCCATCGTGGTCCGCGTCCAAGCTGGTTAAAGTGTGGAATTTTCCTAGAAACACCGTTTGGCGCGTACTCAAAACGTACAGGGAAACCACAGACAAACAGACATAACTCTCGCAAGTTGTTCATCGAACAAGCTTTTGAAGGTAAATTTAAAAGTATCGTAGTTGGTAGTACCGCCACCTGTGGCGCGCATAGTCAATTCCCTTGCGTTTGACGTTTACACTACCGCCATCTGTTCTGAGTACTACCCACCACAGTGTACTCAACAGATGGCGGTAATATCTTTGCAACGATGTTTTACAGTGAGAAATATTCAATGTGTTACGTCTGTTTATCTTTAGGGAAACCTTGATGGCGAATCGAAAGCCTCAAAGTAAACGCCGGAGAGAAACTGCCAACCGTCAGCTCTATGGAAAGGTTGTGGGGTCCATCAGAAGCAACCCAGGTATGTCCGATCGCGAGTGAGATAAAATCGCCAAAACAGTAGACGAGACCGTTGTGTGCCGCTTGATGGGTCGTATGAAGGGAAAATTTCGAGAATTCCTTCGAAACCGCGACGAATAATTCGTTTCGTATTTTTTCTTAAAAAATAAAGAATACTATGCACTTGAGTGGAAACCGTTTTTAAATCCGTTCATTCAATTTCGAAATAGACCCAAATGGTGTTGTTGCATTACTAACTAAGTTTAAGGCGACGATGGATCGAGTGATGTGCGTTGTTCGAGTATCGGGGACACTCTCGAGTACCTTTGAATCTCGAAGGGGGCTACGGCAAGGTGATGGACTTTCGTGTCTGCTATTCAACATCGCGTTAGAAGGTGTGATCAGTAGAGCTGGGATAGACACGAGTGGCACGATCTTAAGCAAGTCCATCCAGCTTCTTGGCTTCGCCGATGACATTGACATCATGGCACGGAACTTTGAGACAGTGGCGGAAACGTACATCAGACTGAAGGCTGAAGCTAGGCGGATTGGACTTGCCATCAACGCATCGAAGACAAAATACATAAAACGAAGAGGTTCTAGGGAAGACAATGTTAGCCTCACACCCCGAGTTCAGATTGACGGTGACGAAATCGAGGTGGTCGATGAGTTCGGGTATTTGGGCTCACTGGTGACCACCGAAAATGATACCAGCAGAGAAATTCAAAGACGCATTATGGCAGGGAATCGTGCCCACTTTGGACTCCGGAGGACGCTCCGGTCGAATAAAATTCGCCGCCGCACGAAGTTGACTGTAAACAAGACGCTGATTAGAGCGGTGGTCCTTTACGGCCACGAGACCTGGACTATGCTCGTGGAGGACCAACGCGCCCTTGGTGTTTTCGAACGGAAGGTGTTGCGTACCATCTACGGTAGAGTGCAGATGGATGACGGAACGTGAAGGAGGCGAATGAACCACGAGTTGCACCAGCTGCTGGGAGAACCATCCATCGTCCACATTGCAAAAATTAGGCGACTACGGTGGGCTGGGCACGTCGCAAGAATGCCGCACGACGACCCAGTGGAAATGGTTCTAGAAAGCAACCCAACAGGAACAAGAAGAAGAGGCGCGCAGTGGGCAAGGTGGATCGACCCTTCGGACCCTTCGCAGACTACGAGGCTGGCGAAGTTTGGCCATGGATCGAGTAGAGTGGAGACGACTTCTTCGGACAGCAGAGAACAACAAGGCCTTAGCCTGATTGTGAGTGTGTGAGTGCATTACTAAGTGGGCCATGCTTTATTGCAGCTTTTGAAGAAGAGCATCGAATCAAACGTACACACGTTGAAAAAAAAATGTATAAATTTAGGTGTTCTGAGACTGACATATACGAGCGTCAATTTTTTCATAAAATTTAGGCATAACAAACGCGCATTCCAGCTCAATCAAACGTATGTTTCTAATGAGTATTTAACATTTGTTTGGTTAGTATTTGTTTACACCTCATCCTTTATGTCAAAGATGGATTTCGTTACGTGTAAAATTAGTAACTTCTATGTGATTATTCACACGTAAAATCACGGTGAAATCATAAATATTTTGAACATTGTGCGGATTCCGCCTCCTCAATTTAAAACTGTATGGAAATTTTACGTTTTCGGATTATTTTATGTACAAGGAAAGAACTGAACTCGTCACCTAACCTAGCAATTGATATTTATTTGTAATTGTATTTTAACGGTAAATGTGGAGATCGAACTATTCACTACCAAAATAAATTTGAAGTTATTTACTTCACAAAACGTGACTACTGAAAGTCTGAGCTAGATGTGCATATCTCCCCTCACCGTAATCATAGTCCAGCATAATGGGAGCGGCAGCAAAAGTTTGTCGTACCGAGACATTATGGTAGTAATAGCCTATGTTGACCGGAACGGGGTACTTACGGGTGAACACGCTGTAGCTCACCGAGGGCGCTGGGGAATAATGAGCCAACATCGAGGGATTTACGGCTCCAGCACTCACGAACGCCAAAACGGCACCCAGCACGAGAAGCTGCAAGCTCAAGATAGTAATCAGTAAGAGAAACACTGCAGATTTGAATATCACTACCAAACCGATCGTCAAGGCTAATTGAAAATTACTGGCTGTTGCAGAGTCGTCACAATCTCGACGTAATGATACCATTTTAGGGCCTTCGATCTGTATTTATACTGAGCTCATTCCATCCTTAACGGGAGGCTCTCTTCGAAGGTATGCAATCTGCATCATGGTCGTGGTTCACGAAGAAGTAACTAGTCCAAGTTTACTATAATGCTGGAATTGCTCCATATTTTTTCAAGAACCGATTCAGTTACTTTCGATGACACGAAACTTGACTGCACCAAATAATGCGCAAAAAGGAATAACTTATTTTTTAATAGCCGCTGCTTCAGCGTGCGATCGCATGAGGAAGGTGAAGATGGTTAAATGTAGCAGGTGGTATTGTGTTTGTATGAAACCAAAATTTGAAGGCCAAGCCGACGAAAAATGTGCCTTATTTAGTTTATGACTACTTCGGGGCGTTCCTATTGATCTATATTTTGGTGATCGACTGGTCGATTTTCTTCACTATAAATATTATCACCCAAACCCAAAACCGTATCATTGTTACAGCCAACGTCTTTCAGTCGCCACCTCAACAAGTGTTGTCAAAATGTTCAACGTAAGTGATCAAAAATCGCATTCGAGTACAAATTTGTTAATCAGGTTTTAATTTCTCTCCAGTTCGTACTCCTTATCGCTGCCTTGGCTTACGCCAGTGCCGGATACGCCGGAGCGGATCATTCCGTATCGTACGCTGCTCCAGTGGCTGCCCACTACTCGTCTGCTCCAGCAGTGAGCTATAGCTCGTTCACCCGCCATCAAAACACCGCTCCAGCTCATCATGGATACGCCCACGCTACTCCAGTCCTGGCTGCCCCTAGCCACGCATATGCCACCCAAGCCTATGCCGCTCCAGCTCTCTCCTATGGACACAGCTACGCTCCAGCCCTGTCCCACGACAACTATGGATATTCCGCTTATGCTGCCCCACTGGCTGCCAAGACCATCGCCGTAGCCCAGCCTCAGCTCTACCACCAAAAAACCTATGCCGTTGCTGCTCCAGTCCTGGCTTCCCATGGCTATAACTATGCCTCGGTTGCTGCCGTAGCCCAGCCTCAGCTCTACCACCAAAACACCTACCCCACTCATGCCGTTGCTGCTCCAGTCCTGGCTACACATGGCTACAACTATGCCCAGGCTGGTGCAGGAGCTCAACTCCTAGGATATAACAACCACCACGGCCATTACGCTTACTAAGGCCACCCAAGTCAGATTGTTAGAGTACTATATGCACCTGTTGATATGGTCTGTTGAATTGAATTACATTTTATATCCAATATACCCAACCTTGAGATGTTTCACTTTCATTCAAAATCAACACCGACGATCCGCGATGAGGATGGCGCGGCTGGAGGGGGAGGGGGGACGATCGTGACCTACCGCGCCACACTGCCGAGATTGACAAAACGAAAATTATGGTTCACGTCATAGCTCATTCATCAACTGCTTTGACTGAGATTCACTAGACTTCATGGGGATTGAAGAGGAATGCATTTAGGGCAAAGTTATACATTGATTGAACATGTTTGTTTAGTCATTACTGGGTGGTAAAAAAAGCGGTTGTATTATGTGTGCTTCATCGGTAGCTTGATGGTTCCATTGTTTGCAGATTAACACGGTGCGTGTGACGTGACCCCCCGGTAATGGTGGTTGAAATATGAATTGGATGAAATCTATGTTTTTCTGGTTAGGTGAATGATGGAGATGATGATTTACTACTATAGAACATGATTCTTCGGCGTTTACATTGAAAGTTTTATTTAAAAGAAAACCAATTAAATCACAGCAAATGATCACTATTTCGGAACATTGTTCTCTTCTGATTTAAAAAGGGAAACGCTGATTAAAATAAAGAACTGGAATAAATAAATTAAGTAAAAATAAGTGAAAATATCACTGCTTATTATTAAAAGCAGAACTTTCTATGCCCCAGCCTTCAACTCACGAATCACAGCTCTCCTCCGCAAATAAACTAAACAGAAGTTCAAAGTGCCAAAACTAAACTAAATATTAATCATCAGGTGGTGCTTAACAGGTTCATAACTTTTGAACCAGTAATCTTTGAAGTCGGCCCAAGAATTCAAAAGTTATAAATTAAAAAAAGTCTTTTCTGAAAAAAAAAATCGAAAAAACCGATTTTTATACCACTCTAACATGGAAATGGTCACCCCAATAATGATGATGATGGTCCCATTTCTTACCCCTACAAAGCTTTGAGCTGGACGATTTATCTTTAAGATAATTAAATATCCAGGTTAGCAAACGAAATCGAACTGGTTACTGTTACTGATATAAATTCCCTCTAGAGTTTACAGCTGTTTCACAGCGATATAAATGTGGAAAAACTCAGGCGTCCACCTCTTAGTTCGCCTTTTTGTCCACCTAAAATATTCATAAGTATTACAGAGTATATTTAAAATTAACCACCAACCGCTGAAAATATGAATTATCGCGTATTTCTGTTGTTCATTACATGCGAGATTACATGCCAAGTGAAATTCGAGGACGTAATTTCATTTGAATAGCTTGTTTAACCAGGTCTTAAACAATCGTCACGTCGGTCATAGCTTGTTATGATTGCCTGAACCATGCGTAAAGAGAAAATCGAAACATTGAACGTCGCGTGAAAGTGGATCTTAATGAAGGCCTAAGTACTCTTTCGTAGCTTTTAGTTTTAGGATTTCAAAGATCTTCGGTTGCAGTGGCTTGCTTACTGAGCAGAAAAACGCGGTCCCAGGGCCTTTCATATAAAAATTTATGGTAAGATCACTTGTTTATCGTGTATTTTGTAAAACTTTTGGTTGTCGTCGTTGCCGGGTTTGAATAGTTATTATTATTATTATTATTTAGCTTTATTAGGGAGGCTTTCAGCCTTGGGCTGGTTCGCCTCCAGTTTGAATAGTTATAAAAACTTGAGTAAGGCTATAATGTGATATGAGGGGCTCGGTGGCCTTAGAGCAACCGGTTTTGGTTACTGAGCAGAACATCATGAGCCTAATCTCAAGCCCATTCACATTCAAGATTCGTCAATCGTTTTATTTGTTAACATGACTACATGGTAATAACAGCAACTCGATGATTAAAAAGGAGCTCGTCTGCCTAGTGGCAAACGTTTTTGATTACTGAGCAGAAGACCGTGGGTTCAATCCCAAGCTCCTTCGCGTTATATGATTGTTAGGACATCAATTCAGCTTATGGTTTACCAAAACGAACCCTGCTGCAAACCCAACCCTATTACCCAATATCCCAGTGATTCCTCGTGGAAGTGCAGAGGTGTTCTCAGCTTCCATCAAAGCAAGTGTCACGTCAACACATTCCTACCCTTTCCTTTCTTGACCTGTGTTCGGGCGCGGCCGGCGCTGGTATTGCTTAGTTTGAGATCACCAGTATTCAAGTCCCAAGCATCGTCTATTGGATATCTGTGTAATTACAGCTGGTCTGACAATAACAGAGTAGTAACCGTGGGCGGCCAATCATGCTCATGCTCATGATAAAATATTCATAAGTATTACAAGCGATCAAGAGTTAATGAACAATCAACAAAGCATCCTATTACACTAGAAACCCTGATGCTATCATAATTTTCAGCAATGTCAGGAATGCTCACGAACCCCCGACATATACCAGAAAACTTATTACTTACTCAACGTAGAAGAAATAAGCTTCATTTTTTTTTTTATTAAATTTTAAATTCAGTCCTCTACGTCAGTTGGTCAAGGCGAATAGAGATCAGTAGTACATAATTTTCTCACTATACGGCGCTAATATGCATGTCAATTTCCTGTACAAAATATATCTTGAGATCTTTACTATTTAGAATGTTTCCGTCTCCCGAAAAGTTGTTCAGATTAGCAATGTCTTCAAATTGGTGGGTTAGTTAGTTCAGAGTTCTCTCACTACGTGACACTAGTCTACGTGTGGGGCCTCCATAGCACGAATTCCTCCATAGCACGAATTGGTATGGGTTTAATGAACGTAAGTTTTTTTGGTTCGAATCCAGTCTGTTGCGTATGGTTAATTTTTTTTAAATTTTTTGGTTTAAACTTAAATGTTAAACTCATGAATTTAGCTCATGATTTTAACTCGGATGGTTCATGATTTCGGGTATCTTGGGTGCGTTACGCAAACATAGCTCATGATATCATGAATATTATTTATGGTGTATTTTCATAACATCAAAATACGCTATGTTCATGAAATCATGACTCATTTTTCTCATTTCGGATTTTTGATTTGTTCCCATGTTGTTAACATGAATGTATTTTACAATACAAACTCACACTTAGAAAATTTTACCGAACTCGGTTTGATTTCAACCGAGTTTTTATTTGCTGAACACTCGGTAGTCTGTTTGACTCAAAGTTCGACTCTGTTCGACTCGACCGAGCTGTCGTTAGTTTTTATTGTTACCCACAATCTGTCAAAGTTACCGAAAATCTCGGTTGACGAAAAATAAATTTAAGCAGAAATAACCGAAAATCGGTTTACTCAAGAATTACCGAGCGCTGTCAAACAAACCAACCCACCTGTTGTAATTACGGAATTCGGTTCTCTTGGGCAGCGATCGGTTTTCACTTTAAATCCCGCTTTAAATTTTGATTAAGGATGCATTGCTTCGAATGGTCATAAAAATAAAACCAGTTTTGTCAAAGGAATGTATGAAATATATTTATTTAATTTGTTTTGGAGAATAAAAACTCCCGTAACGCGAGTTACAGCGTGGAAAGTCAAACAGTCAAAATCTATCACTGGCTTTGAAGTCATTCTTATTCAAATGGTTTTTAAATGCTTTTGCAAGCCAGAGACATAACCTTGTACATTTTCACGGCAGTAGAGACAAACTATAGCACAAGATGCCTACAAATAAAATCATACAGTTAGTTTCTAATACTTGCAAAAGATTTCAATCAAACGTTCACCCTCCTGTTACAGCTGCTCCAGAACTTTTTTTTTCCATTTTTTACTTAAGTTTTGCACACGTCCGATGAGCACACGCGTGAAAAAATGGCTGACTAATTTTAGACTCAGCTTAGAGAACCGAGTTTTCGGTTAAAATTTCCGTCGCGAAGTTGAGCGCAAGTGGATCGTTTGACGTTTGACACGTTTTAGCGAATATTCGGTTCAGTTTACCGAGTTTCGATACTTTACCGTACTTTTCGGTTCAGTCGAAGACATCAAATCAACAAGACTGGCAACTCTACCAGAATCCAAGCGACAGATACAGTAGCGCTGTGCTCGAGTGAAGGTGGAAGTAACGCATAGATAAATGAGCAAATACACAATATTCTGAGGTTGTAATCTTTGCTATCCAATTCGTTCGAAGCATTTACCTTTTCGCGTCAGATGACGCGATTGTGCCGGTCTCATAGCGGTCGTTTGAGAAAATGGTGGAGTTGCCAGTCTTCTTGATATGTTGTCTTCGGTTCAGGGGTACTTCGGGGGACGACACATCTAAATCTCAATTCTCGGTGCTCAACGAAAAATCTTCTTTAATTTCTCGCATCTACGTGCATCGTGCATCATCTTTTTGCAAGAAATCTTCAGAATCGTCATAAATCTTCTTACTATCTAATCAGCGTACGCGCAGCTAACCACAGCAAAAAACAATTTTTCCTTCATCGTAGATAGAGTCGCCCCCCTCGGTTCAGTCTTCATTTCTATCTGTCAAATTTATACTCTTTTACCGAAATTCGGGTCTGCTTCGATAAACGATGATTTGTAAACCATTTATTCGGTTTCTCGTTGGTAACCGAAGACGTTTGGTAGAAAATTGAACCGATATTATTTTCTAAGTGTGTATAGTATAGCAAAGAACTCTGTATCATTATTTTTTTTCAAGAGTTAATCGTTCCAATAATTAATAAAGGGTGGCCGTCTTACCCCGTCGTCCCCTAAATATTTTTAGAACGGGAGGTCAGAAATCGGTGATTGACGTCATTTTGGAATCCAAGATGGCGACTTCCGGTTTGTGAAAAACTACAAATTCCTGACAATATATACTGAAACATAACTGGACCAGGATCTCTAGTAAAACAGTGGAATTTAATTTGAAGTTTCATTTAAAGGGTCTACTTCAGAACATACGCGCACTAGAAATTACAGTATTAGTTCATAACTTAACGTCCACGATGTCCAATTGGCTAAAAACCGATTTCAGTAACATGGTGTCTTCATTCACTGAGTTTCATTATCGTTGACTATTTGGTGGTGTAGTGGTAAGCGTAATTAACTCTCACCCCAGCAGGCCTGCGTTCAAACCCAGTCGGCGCAGCCGGGATGTTCTGAG